TCGGCTTCCTATGCTAAATGAAGATTCTGCAGCTACTGTTGTAATGGGGATGCTCAAGACATCACAGGCCATAGCAGACAATTCTTTGAACCGGTTTGCGTTGTCTCTCCAATAAGCCAATATATCCATGCTCTTAAAGGCCACCATATCCAAAACAGGTTCATCCAAATACTTGTCTAATGCGGACTTTCCATTAGCACCAGCCGTCTGAGAAATAAAAGCATAAAACCCCTGCATAGACAGACAATACACAGATCAATACATGAAAATGATGAGTTTTTATCCTTAAAAGACAGAATCACAGAGACTACAAACCTGCAGCAATCATACCAGAAACGGTTTCTGAGAAACCAATACACTTTGATGAAACTATACTTAAGAAACCATTTGACTATACTTAAAGTCAGAATGAGTTAAAGACAGAGACTATACTTGCACAGTTTCTGAGAATCACAGAAACTTCTGACACATTATCCTTCACAGAGTTTTAAAACTTCTTACACAGAGAAACTTACATCATATCCTGGAAGAATGTTTTGTCCCACTGTGGAGTCTGAAGTTCCAGCAGCTTTCTTTGGGTTCTTTTTATAGACATCAAAAAGCTTCTTCAGCTTCTTATGCAAGTGATCAATCTTAGATTTAGAACTGGAAGCATCAAGTGTATTGAAGCAATACTCCAACATAGGGAACTTCAGTCTAGGATCAAACACTGCCGCAATGGCAAGGATATCACTGTACTCACTCCAATATTTACCAAACTTCTCTTGCATACCAATCACCATGTCACGGATTACTTCATCATAGTGGTCTTCATGGATTTTTAACCACATTTCAATCTGCCATACTTGCATGAAGTATAAATTCGCCGTTGGATAAGATGATCCAGAGATCAAATTCGTCATCTCTGCAAATGGGGTCAAGAACTCATGAATTAACTCAGCTCTCTCCCATTCTGTAGTGGATGGACAACTTTGATAACTTGCATCTACTTCAGAAAGATGCCGGAATGCTTCTTTGTAAATGATGGCTCTCTCTAACATTAGATGTGTAGAATTCCATCTTGTAGATACATCTAATAACAGCCCTACTTTAGATTCAACTCCCACAGTATCAACACACGTTTGGAATGCTTGCTCTCTAGACTCACTCACTGTCACATACTTCACACTCTCACGGATTTTCTCCAAAGCTTCATCAATTACTATTAGCCCCTTTTGCACAATCAAATTCAAAATATGAGCATTGCATCTTATATGCATGAATTCTCCATTGCATACCAAATGTTTTTTAAGCTGTCTCTTGAGGATTCCTTGCATGTTGTCATTGGAAGACGCATTGTCTACCGTAATGGTAAAAAATCTCTTCTCTATCCCCCACTCTTTTAACAGTGCTAACACCTTTGTAGCTATACCGGCTCCTGTGTGTGGAGGAGGGAAGGCACAAAAAGATAAGATCTTTGCCTTCAAGTTCCAGCTGCTATCTATGTAATGCGCTGTCAAACACATGTACCCTTCAATGGTAAGGGATCTCCAAAGATCAGTTGTCAAACACAATCTACCAGGAACTTCATCTAATTTCTTCCTAAGTTTCAGCTTCTCTTTCTCATAGATCTTCAGACAATCCGCAGCTGCGGTGTTTCTACTCCAAAACTCTATGCTAGAATTAGCATATTGAAATGCCTCTCTAATCCGTTGATACTCAACAAATGAGAAAGGAAAATCATGCTCAATTATTGCTAAACCTATCATTTCCCTAAACACCATCATATCTAGCTTTCTATTTCCAGTAGGTGTACTTCCAGGAGTCTGTGAACAGCCTCTCATGTGACGCAAGAGAGTATTTGTACCACTTCTACGCAGGTCTAAGCTATAGGTGTGGTTGCAATAGTTGCATCTCACATCACTTATAATCACACCATTTTTCTTACTAGATCCAATGATTCTAAAGGTTTTCCAGCACTGTGAACGCTTACGCCTACGTTTACCTTTCACCAAGTTCTCAGCTGTACTAGCAAGTGAATCTACTTCCTCTTGTTCTTCATTCTGATTCTCTTCATCCATATCCATCTCATCCCCAGTCATATAGTCATCGTCTAGGTTTAGAGTTTCTTCATTACCCATCTGAAAAAAGATCAAAAGCCATCAGACATCAGTCATAGAACAAGAATAGCTTTCAGTTTTACATCAGACACTTCAAACAGTAGACTATCACAGTCTGTAAACATCACAGAAACTATCAAAAACATACAAACCCAAAAACATAGACTATCACAGGAACAATAGAGATTCTGTCATTCTATTTCACAGTTTCTGACATATACACTCAAACAAGCAGTAAACAAGCAGAAAGTTTTACATCAGACACTTCAATCAAATGGGTCTTTTCTCAAAATCTCAAAAACTCAAAAGGGTAGATTGATTCTCTCTCAAAACGAGTAAATAGGTCTCTCTGTTGAAAACCCTAAAACGCAAATGCTCAAATCAAAACCCCTAAAACGCAAATGCTCAAATCGAAAACCCTAAATCGTAAATGCTCAAATCGAAAACCTTGTTCTGAAATCTGACCTGAATCGAAAGAAGTGGCTGAGATTGATGCGATGAAGCCATGGAGGCAAGCGTCAAGCTCTGTTGCGAAGAAATCGCCGGAGAAGCTCTGATTTTCGATTTTAGAAAGTTTTGAGTCTTTTGACGATTTTTCATTTTTTCCCCCAAATCATTTGACCTAACATTTTTTGTCTATTGGGCCGCCCAATTCCATTAGAGTCCAGTCCAATAAAGCCCATATCCATTATAGTCCAGTCCATTACTGGCCATGTCAAAGTGGGCTTGTCCATGACCGGTCCATTAGGTGTTGGACACGGACAGCCCATGGGCGGCCCGCCCATTTTGACAGCTATACCAAAAACGTGATATCATAACTCATTTATGTCATTAAATATTATATTTAATATTATATGATGATAATAATTATTAATTAATCTCTATACTATTAAAAGAGAAGTACAAATGAAAATGGGTCGGGTTAAAATCAGAAAATTGACCCGAAATTCTGAAATCGGATCTTTGAAATTTTTTTGGAATATAAATTCGAATTAAAAATGAAAAATCGAAATAAAATCAAATATTTATGGAAATCAAATAAAATCTGATTGTACTTATGGTAACTAATAATAAAAGCATATTCCAAACAATATTATACATTAATTACGTATAATAAATTTGTTCATATATTTTTGGGACTAATTCCATAACAATCAACGTTTTTGTCATTAATTTCGCTCATTTTAGCTAATTATCATTAATTAAAAGATATTTTACTTGCTTCTAAAGATTTCTAGAAAATTTATCACAAATAACCCATCTGTTTTATAAATTAAATTGATATTTTTATTTTGATCGTGTAAATTAAATAGATATTTTTATTTTGGTCGTGTAAATTAAATAGATATGAAATCTATGTAACTAATTTTAATTTAATTAGATTAAATCGAAATTATGATATTTTCATACCTATAGCTTACCAAAGAAGTTTAATTTTCAATTTATAAAGATTTCTTGAATATGATTTTAGAATTATTCAACAAGATGATAAGTATTTATTAAATTTTGTGAATCATGAAAAATAATAATTAATTTTTAATCATTATACTTCATCTTTCAATCTCTCATCTAGATACATATTCTATTATTACTATGTCCAACCTTCATTTTGTTGTATGACTAAATAATATTCCCATTAGAACTGTCAATGCGAGTTGATTCGTCCCGTTAAGTCCGTTTTGCGATAGACAAAAAATATTTTGACTTGTAGTTAGTCGGTCCGCACAACCCGCGGGTAGCATATATGAAATACAAACCCGTCCCGCGAATATATGTGGATTTGCGGGATTGTCCATGGATTTTGTTTAAATAATTTTAAAGTAACCAAAATTTAAAATACTACTGAAATAAATAAATAAATCAAAATACTATTAAAAGTTTGTTTAAATTACCACATGTTGAATAAATTATAATTTTATCAATAAATACTAATATGCGGGCTGATCCGCCAACCCGCGGATGAAAACCGATTAAACCTATGACCCACTGCGAATTAATCCATGTGGCCCGCTTATTTGCGGGTTTAATATATTTTCCCAAATCTGCCCCATAGTGAGATGATGTGGGCTGGACCCGCGGTTTTTGACCTATTTTGACTGCTCTAATTCCCATGAATCGTCTAATTTTAGAATTTTAAAACACAAAATTCTATTTTGTAAATCATAATTATTACGATGGGTATATTTATAAACAATTTTACATTTTCTCTACAATTCGTTATTATGAATATTTATAAGTATACTACACGATTCGTTCTACTAAAAAACACACACAATATTAAACGCAACATATGTAAACCAATATTCTCCCGCGGTGGACCGCGGGTCCGATCCTAGTTAATTATTTTATTTTTATGGATCAACTCATTTAACCATTAAACCATCATATAACTGGATTAATGGATTGACTCAATCCATTTAACAAATGAGTTAGATCTACTCATAAACCATTTAAGCCTAAACTCATTGGATTATGGATCGGTTTAAATCGGTTTATTCATTTTGATACCCTAGTTATACTCAAGGATTTGTAGAGGTTGATAACTTCGGAGGGAGGTGGGAGGTTGAAGTTTCCTAAAACAGAAGCTAAGAATCTGCAGAAAATCATATATATAAAAGTAGAGTTTAATTCTCTCTTTATTGGTCCACTTGGTATCTTTTTTTTAATGAAGCTTTTTGTTTTTCAAGAAACACTTAAACCTCAAATTTTAAATAAAAGAAACAATATAACGATCTTTATATAATTATCTAGTAGCTCAGAAAAAAGCTATATATAATGATATATATATATTAAAAATGAATTACAAAAATTTATTTGAAATAATAAAGATGTAATAAAAATTATTTGATATATGTACTACAATAATTTATTTATTAAATATTTCATAATTAAAAAAAAATACATGGATATGTTAGAAAATAAGTAAACATCTAAAGTAGAAATTAGAGATGGATCTTCTTAACATTATTTTCCTTGTTGTACGATGATTAGAATTGAAATTCTTAATTCTCCATCACCAATAAACCTGAAAGTTTTGTTATAATCATCAAAACTTTTTTATTTTGCTTCTGAAAATTAAAGAAGAAATATTATATGACATACTTTGTAAAATAAATTTAGAATCAAATTTTTACAATGATGGTTTCTTTGATATTAACCCATATAGCAATATAAAAAAATAGATACATGGATATAGTGGAAGAAGATGGGAAAATGACTACTTATAAGATAATAATCTATAATAGATAATAGATATTAATCTTTAAAAAATCAAAAAATAATGTACGATATATATCGTATAGTCTCTAAAATTAAAATGTTGAACTATGCTTTTACAATGATATTAAAGTTGATTTTCTTAGACCCA